ATATCTATCTTTGTGTTCCACTTCATTTTTGGCTACTTTCAATTTTCCAAGATTCATACTTTGTACATTCCATGTTCTGATTATTCATCAATGTTTACAGCTGTTTCTCCTCATTTTGAGTTGTTTCCCATTAGCAAATGAAGGTCCCAAATGCTTCTTTACTCCATTCTTGTCATTGTGGTCAACTCTTCTTTGAAAAGGGAGCTCTTCCTCAGTTGTATTTTGATTCCCTTCCGACTTGAGGGGCTCATCTTCTGCCACTAAATCTGACAGCATTCCACTGCTAGTCATTTCAGTGGCTAACACTCAGAAGTAAGTAGTCTGCCTTTCCTTCCTCCTAGTCTCTTTAGTTTGGATAAGCGCAAACTTACCCACCATGGATAGCCCTGCTGGTATTTAAAAAAAAAACGGTGGCATAGCTTCCAGCAACACAACAACACACAAACCACCAAAGGACAACAAAATTGCCTGTTTTGTACATGTACCAAGAGCTGACTGAATTCATCTTCCCACTGACCTCTGGGTCCCGATCAACCCATAACGGGATCAGCCAGGCCAGTCCTTGTTGAGTAGAAACATGCTCTTCATTCTGGCTGCCCAGAGGAAGGAACCAGAGAGACATCCAGTCCTACAACGAGAGAAGAGGGGCAGAAGCATGTGAGACCACATCCTATAAAATAATCGAGTGATGACAAAATGAGTCTATGGCTAAAGATCAAATCCAAGTCGGAATATACTCAAGACTTGGTTTAATCCATAACTTGACCCAAACAAGGCAACCTAAATCTCAGGTTTTCCTAAAAATGCTACAAATGTTTTCTTAAGAACAGCTTACCCCAATAATAATTTAGACAAAAAATACAGCTTTCTAAGATTTCAGTCACAATAAATTCTAAATACAATTCAGAATTGATAACATTCTAACTAAAATTCAGTTGCAATATGTAACTTCTAAGGAATAACTTTGTTGAAAATCCATTTCCTAAAAAGAATCATCAAAAGAGACATTTTCGTGTCACAAGCCTGCCATCTGTTAGGCACAGCATGTTGGTTTCCAGGCAAGTGCGCTGCAGACAGACAGCTGCAGATACGCTCACCGTGCGGCGGGCCTGGGTCATCATCTCGTGGGACAAGTGAAGCAGACACAGCACCGTGCTCTTCGTGACGCCCCTCCCCATGAAGGACATTGCGTTCCCACCACGCTCCACGTAAAATGAGGTAATCACCTGAGAAGACAACAGAAACCGGTACTCGGACAGGTACATGGAGACCAGTACAACACTCTCTACTAACCTGTCGGCATCTTCCTTTGGAACGTGTACAAAAGCTGTGCAGGGTCCTCCCTGGACACTTAGAATGTGCTTCACACGCTTCTCCAACACAACTGTACCCTTTAAGCCCTCACTTTAGTCAAAGAATCAATAAACAGTTTGCTGCACAGCATACAAAGAAACAGCTAGCATTATAAAATTGTGCAAAGACCACAAGACTTAGGCTAGAGTTTCTAAAATTGTGGTTTAAGTGGGAATCGAAATGCTCCCCCCTTATGAGCAACTGCAGATTTAAGAATACACTAATTATATAAACCATTGGCTCTTAAGGTTTTCACTTCCACATTAACTGCAGGATTTGACATTTTTCTACCAGTAAGTACAATAAGAGGGCCTGAATCAGAATGGGCAAGGGAAGTGGGCAACCGCAGACTGAGAAAAGCCCGCATAACTGACTCAGGACTCTTTTGAAAATATAAGGGAGCTTCAAAACGTTCGTGGAAAAACTCCTTTATCTTCTGATGCTATTTTTCCACAAACTTTTTGAAGTCCCCTCACATGTAACAAACTTTACTGAAATGGTAAGAGGCCCCGAATAGCTAGAGTGTGTTAACAGAAGATCACAGGAGGAGGACTCACACTTGCTTATGCTGGAACATCCTACACAGCTAGTTGTCACAACCGCCTGGTATTCACCTGACAACAAACACAGAGAGCAAAGAAACAGGACAGAGAGTGAGTCCGAAATAAACCCCCACATCCATGATGCTCAGTCCATCCAAGGGGGAAAGAGTCTCTTCAATCAACAGTGCCGGCTGGGAAAATTGGATTTCCACACGCAGAAAATGAATCCGGATCCTTGCCTCACACCATAACAAAAAACAGATTCAAACATCAAGGACCTAAACCTGGTGGGTGGCGATGGTGGTGGTGGTGTGCAAGTGGGTTCCGACTCACAGCGACCCTGCGTAGGGTTTCTGAGGCTGTAAATCTTTACCTTCCCCCAATGGCGTGACTGCCAGATTCAAACTGCGGGCCTTTCAGTTAACACCCCAATGCGTAACCACTACACTACCAGGGTGCCCTGATGGGCAAACTAACAACAGAAAATTATCAGGAAACAAGCAGGTGCAATACTATCAGGCCTAGTTTTTAACAAAAGATCAAGCTAATGAGTAACAAAAGCCCACAGCAAAAGACTAATTAAATCAACAGGAACTCACAAAAATTTTAAATTTTTGTTTATCAAAAGATTTTAACAAAAAGTGAAAAGACTGGGAGACTATCTTCGGAAACCATAAATCCAACAAGAACCTGATAGCCAAAAATACATAAACTTTGACAACTTAGCAAAAAAAGACAAATATCCCAATTACAAAATGGGCAAAACACTTGAATAGACTTTCACCCAACAGGCCATTGTAAAGACCACCAAACACATGAAATGAAGCTGGACACCATTAGCCATCAGAGAGATACAATCCAAACCACATTAAGGGACCATTTAACTGGCACTAGGACGGCTGAGATTTAGAATAGAACACAAATGTTGGAGAAGATGTAGAGCAATCGAAACCCTTACCCACTGCTGGTGGAAATGCAATATGGTACGGCCGCTATGGGAAATAGCATGGCGGTGCGTCAACAATTTTAAAAAGGACTATCACAAAACCAAGCAATCCCACTTCTAGCTACCTGCCCAAAAGACTCACACGCCATCGTTCACTGCAGCACCAGTTGAACTGTCACTTGCAAGTCATATCTGACTTCTGTTCTAAACTCCCAGTTAGTTGTGTACTACCTGTGGTTTTACAGGTTTGCAAGTGACCATCCAAGGAAGAACAACTGACCACTAATCAGCTGAAACAAGAGTGGAAGGAGACTCCAGAATAGAAGGGTAAGGAAAGAGTTTCTGTCTCCATGAACAACTGCCTCCTTTACCACAAGACCAGAACTGGAAGTGGCCAGCTATCATTACTGATTATTTGGATGAGTTTCTACAGAATTCTAATCAAAAGGGGAAAATGTAGAACAAAATATCGTAGTCTCATGGACCCCAGACTTCCTAGGACCAGGAAGGTTGAAGGAAGGAACCCTGGAAACTACTGTCCTAAGATCATCTGTAAACCTTAAACCAAAAGTATCCCCCAAATGCTTCTTAAAATCAAACAATAATTTAATTTTGCTGTTTTTAGGTGCCATCGAGTCCTTAGTGACTCTATGCATAGAGGAACAAAACACTGCCTGGCCCAATGCCAATCTCACAACCGTTGCTACACTTGCGCCTACTGCTGCTGCCACCATGATAATCCATCTTGGTGAGGATTCTTCCTCTATTTGCGGACACTCCACCTGACCAAGCATGACGTCCTTCTTCAGAAACTGGTTCCTCTGGATAATATGTCCAAACTATGAGAGATGAAGTCTGGACATCCTGGCTTCAAAGGATCATTCTGGCTGTATTTCTTCCAACATAGATTTGTTTGTACTTCTGGTAGTCCACAGTACTTTTAACATTGTCCTCCAACACCATAACTCAAACTCATCAATTCTACTGCCATTCTTCTTACTACGGTCTTCCTTATTCATGGTCCAACTTTCACATGCATATGAGGCTACTAAAAATACCATGACTTAAGTCAGGTACACTTTAGTCCTCTCAAATTGACATCTTTGCTCTTCAATACTTTAAAGAAGTCTTGTACAGCAGATTTGCCTAATGCAATACATTGTTTGATTTCCTAACTGTTACTTCCATGCGTGTTGATGGTAGATCCAAGTAAAATGAAGTCTTTGACAACTTCAGTTTTCCCCATTTATCATGATGTTAATTAATGGTCTAGTGAGGAATTTTGTTTTCTTTACATTGAGGTACAATCCATACAGATGGTTGTGGTAAATCTTCTTTGCTTTCAGCAAGCAAAGCTGTATCATCTGCATATATGCAGGCTATTAATGAGTCTTCCTTCAACTCTGATGCCATGTTCTCCTTCATATAACCCAGCTTCTCAGATGTACTCAGCATACAGGTTGAATAAGCATGGTGAAAAAATACAACCCTGGCACACATCTTTCCTAATTTTAAACCATTCAGAGTCCCCTTATTCTGCTAAAACAACTGTGGTCTATGCACAGCTTCCTCATGAACACAAGTGTTCATCCACAGCTTGTCACGATCCCCACAATCGAAAGTCTTTGCATAATCAATAAAGCACAGGTAAACAAGTTTCTGGTATCCTCTGCTTCCAGCCAAGATCCATCTGACATCAGCAATACTATCACTTCCACGTCCCCGGCTGAATCCGGCCTGAAACTCCAGACGCAATCTGTCAATGCACTACTACAGCTATTTCTGAATCATCATTAGCAAACCTACTAATATATTGTCCAACGATTTCTGCATTCAATTCAGTCACCTCAATTTGGAATAGGCATAACTATGGATCTCTTCCCATCAGTTGGCCAGGGAGCTGTCTTCCAAATTTCTTGGCAGAGATGAGTGAGTGCCTCCAGTGCTGCATCAGTTTGCTGATCAAGATTTTATTTTATATTCCATCAATTCCCAGAGCCTTGTTCTTTGCTGATGCCTTCAGTGCACCTTGGACTTCTTCCTTCAGGATCACTGACAGGACCATTTCTTCATGGCACCGTGACTGTGTATTCCATCTTCTCTAGTTGCTTTCTGTTATCACTCGATATTGTGTCTGTGTTGTTAAATGCCATCGAATTGCTTCTGAATCATAGCAACCCTATACAGAGTTTTCAAGGAGCAGCTGGTAGGTTTGAACTGCTAATCTTCTGGTTCATCGTCCAATGCTTATCCTACAACACCACACCAAGAATCCATTTTGCCTACAGAGTCCTTCAATATTACAAGCTGACATGAATGTTTTTCCTTCAGTTCTTTCAGCTTGACAAATGTTGAGCATATTCTTCATTTTGGATTTCTAACTTCAGGTCTTTGCAACTTTCATTATAATATTTGACTTTGTCTTCTCAAGCTGCTCTTAGACATTTTCTGTTCAGCACTTTTATCTCCTCATTTCTTCCATTTGCTTTGGCATCTCTATGCTGGAGAGCAAGTTTCAGAATCTCTTCTGACATCCATTTTGGTCTTTTCCTTCTTTTGTATCTCCTAAAGGACCTTTTGCTTTCTTCCTGTATGATGTTCTTGATGTCATCCCACAGCTCTTCTGGTTTTCAGTCGTTAGGTCTAATACATCAAATCTGTTCTTCAGATGATTTCAAAATCCTGGTGGGTTACACTCAGGATCGTAGTTTGGCTTTCGTGGCATGTTTTAATTTTTGTTAGCTTCAGCCTGAACTTGCACATGAACAACTGATGGTCTGTTCTACACTCTGATCCTGACCTTGTTTTGGCTCATGATAGATGGAGCTTTTCCACCATTTCTTTCCACAGATGTGTCACTTTGATTTCATCTGGTGAGGTCCACATGTATAGTCATCTTTTAAGTTGTTTTAAAAAGATGTTTGCAATGAAGAAGTCATCAGTCATGCAAAATTCTATCTCCAGCATTGTTTCTGTCTGTAAGACCATATTTTCCAACTACTGACCCTTCCTCTTTTCCAACCCTTGCATTCCAATAACCAGTAATTATTAATACATCTTGATTGCATGTGTGATCAATTTCAGACTGAAGAAGTTGGTAGAATTCTTCAATTTTATCATCACTGGCTTTAGTGATTGGCACATAAATTTGAGTAATTAGTTATATTAACTGGTCTTCTTGGATGTGTATGGATATTATCCTATCACAGAGAACATCATACTTCAAGATAGATCTTGAAATGTTCTTTTTGATGATAAATCCAATGCCATTCCTCTTCAATTTGCCATTTCTGGCTTAGGAATCCATGTTATTGTCAGATTCAAAATGGTCAATAACAGGCCATTTCAGCTCACTAATACCTAGGATATTGGTTTATATATTCCATTTCTTTTTGATAACTTCCAATTTTCCTATATTTATACTCTGTACATTCCATATTCCAATTATTAAAAGATGTTTACAACTGTTTCTTCTCATTTTGAGTTGTGCCCTATCAACAAATGAAGGTTCCAAAAGCTTCAATCCATTGCTGTCATCAGGGTCAACTTTACTTGGAGGAGACAGCTCTTCTCCAGTCAGAGTCTGAGTGCCTCATAACCTGAGCAGCTCATCTCCAGGCACTATATCTGACAATAGTCTGGTGCTCTTCATCATGTTTCAGTATTCAAACTTCTGTTACTGACAGTGTTCCAGTGCTATTCATAACGTTTTCAGTGACTAAATACTCAGAAGTCGTGCCTCTCTCCCCCTTCCTAGTCTTAGTCTGTAAGTTCAGCTGAAACTTGTCCACCATGGGTGACCCTGCTGTCATTTAAAATACTGATGACATAGCTTTCAGCATCACAGCAACATGCCAAGTCACCAGAGTAAGACAAACTGACAGATGAGTGGTGGATAGTTTAAATAGTAAACAATATTTGCCTTGAAAATTATCCTCTTTTTAATAACTATCTACAGAGTTCTAAGGAGCTCTGGTAGTGTAGTAGTTATGAGTCAGGCTGCTAATATCATGGTCAGCAGTTTGAAACTACCAGCAATTCCACAGGAGAAAGATGAGGCATTCTTCTCCCGTAAAGATTTAGAGCCTCAGAAACTATAACAGGGTGTTGCTGAGTCGGAACCGACTCCACGGCATATAGCCACTGTGCTACCACCACGGAGTTCTGCTGTAGGATAAGCACTAGGTCACAAGATAGGTTTGAACTGCAAAGTCGGCAGTTCAAACTCACCAGCCGCTCCTAGGAAACCCTACACAGGGTCACTATGAGTCGGAACTGACTCGACAGCACTTAACAACATCAACAACAACAACTATCACAGAGTATCAAACGGACAACAGCAATTACAAAGATTAGATAAGAAGCTTAAGGGGGTGAGTTTATGCTAATGGGGGAGTAACAATTCAGTGAAGGAGGGGGAGAGTCATCACACAATTTAAAGAATGCAATCCGTCACTGAGGCACTGTGTAGAAACCGAGGAACTGATGTATGTTTTCCTGTATTTAGTCTCAAAATCAACCAATTATACACGCCCACGCACACTCTGCTGGGCCATTTCTATCTATACACATGACTTATCGCTGCATCCCTCTGTCCGGCTCTCCCAAGAGAGGGCTTTAGTGAGTATTGTTAACTGACTGACTAACAAGAACCTTGATAGCTTTCTAACTCTTACACAAAAATATTTGGAGACATAGATCACTTATCATTCAAATTTTTACTGAGAAAAGAAAGCTCACTATGTTTAAATGCCAACACATTTTAAAGGGACAACTGGCTTTAAGTCAGCGCAAGTAAAAAGACTGGTTATCGGCTCCAATACGTCGGAAGGTTTCAAATCACTCATCCAAGGGTCCTCGGTGCTTTTATGCATCAGAGTAATCCTTAACTGTAAGTCACTTTATCTCCTTTTCATTGGGGTTTCGTCAGCTCATGTAGCAGAGCAGCTCATAGGTTTTTTTGAAAAGACAGCATAATCTCGTTAGCCACAACTTATTTAATAAAAGCAATTTATTCATACATAATTTGGAGGCTTTGATCTATGATTAGAATGTTCACAAAGCAAATGATTTAAAAGGCCTAAACAGGAAGCAAGATTGGCCATTGGCTAACAACTGAGAGCACTAATTGTTGATGCTACATGGGCTACAATGTATGGTTCTCCCCTCGTGTGTGGACTTTTGAAAGTTTTTATAATTTAAAGTTTTCAAACTTCAAGGCATCACTTAATTTTAAATCTGCATTGTTGTTGTTGTTGTTGTTAAGTGCCATCGAGTCGGGTCCGACCCATAGCGATCCTGTACAGGGTTTCCGAGGGTGTAAGTCTTTACGGGAGTAGAAAGCCTCATCTTTCTCCCGCGGAGCGACTGGTAGTTTCGAACCGCTGACCTTAAGGTTCGCAGCCCGATTCGTAACCACTACGCTACCAGAGCTCTGCATTAGGAATACAAAATTGCTCAGAAGTAGGGACAATGACCATTTGCATTTAAGTCCTAGCTCGGGGCTGGCCTAAGCCTGGCAGTCAGTAAGCATGTGAATGCTGTTGTTGCTGTTAAGTGCCACTGAGTCGGTTCTGATTCTTATTGACCCTCTTCAGAGTTTCTGAGGAGCGGCTGGTGGGCTTGAACCATTGATCTTGTGGATATCAGTCCAGTGCTAATACACAGTACCAAACCAGGAACCCAACAATGTTACAGTACTAGCAATTTCTATATATACTTTTCAAGAGAAGAGACCCACCAATCAAGTCTTGCCCTTCTCTGAGAGCCTACTATATCTAGATTATGCATCAGGATTGGATGTTCAGTTTGTAAGGGAAAAGTCAAGAATTCTCATTCTATTCCAAGCTTACATTTTTGTCAGAACCTTGGAGTTACACACCACAGATTGGGTTTTAAGGACTTAATTACCACGCATGAGTCGCGAACAACAAGAAGCATATTTAAGATATAAATCCCATTTCTCACCATCAAAAGCAAGGATTCTACATTCAGACTTCAATGTGTAAAAACCAGTAATAGAGTATCAGCAATGTGGCTCCCTCCCCAAAGGGAATCCTCTTTACTTAATGAGACCCTACAATGCAGGTCATGTGGAGCTGCAACACCATGGCTTGTGTTTTGAAGCCACTTCATAAAGCCTATCTTAGTTTTAAAAAGGTGTCTGAAATGAAAGAATTCAGTCTGTAATGACATAATGACACTGACATGGCTTATTAGTAAACTAAGCAGAAGGTCCTATGAAAGATTCAATGTAATTTGGCCTCTAATTGCAAACACAAGTGGCAGACTTCTTTGTACTGATTCCAGTCACCTGAATCAAAGCATAAAGACTCGTCTCAAGGTTGTGTCTGAAACATACTTCTCTTCTGCTTACGCCTCTCTCAGGTTTAGCTTGTAACAGAACATTATATTATGAAAGAGGAGTATCTGTTCCTTAGCTAAAATCACTCTCTGATTGCCGATTTTTGTCACCTCAAAGATTACTGCCTTCCTCTCCTCTGCTTGTTATCTAAAACTAAGCGCTCTTGTCCCCCAGTACCGCTCTTGTCCCCCAGTACCGCTCTTGTCCCCAGTACCGTAAGAGGTTGACTTTAATTTCTGGTGCTTGAAACAGAGGTGTGGCCTGAAGTCTCTTCTCTTACAGAACTCCTTCTGGTCGTATCGAAATACAAAGCAGCATGACACTTGTCACCCATCCCTGACACGGGACAGACAGCAATCCCTTGACAGAGAGATGGGCTCCAAGAAAGGTCCCTCAACAGAGTGCTTGAAGAGCAGACTACCAATACTACCACACATGAGAAACATGCCAGCTAAACAGCATTGCAAACACATTAGCTAGTTCTGCAGCTAACACATCTGCTTTTAAAACTCAAACATTTCTGATAATGGAACACCTCCAAGCATGGAAGAACTAATGAAAATACTGACAAATTTGTCCTTTTCCAGCATTTATAATTGTTCAAGCAAAATTAAAATCCACTTTATTAAAATGGCTACACTAAAATTCACATTAACTTTTATAAACAGCTAAGAGTATTTGGAACTTTGAAATCTTCTTTTAAAAATTAAGATTATGTGCCTTTAGGGAAAATTTATAGATGATATAATCTGAAGCACTATTTGATAATGAAATACAAAAATTAAACATACACCACTTACGTTCACTTATGCCACCTTTCCAATGTTATTCAAACTGTACAAGGTGCAAGACACATCTCCATGACATCCTCCACTGCCCACTATGTGCAAATCACGTACCAGGGCGAGAGAAGCCCAAGGCAGTGGCTGTGCTTCAAACAGGTGCTCCCCGGCTCACAGTCTACTAGCAGACAGACACACAGACATGCTAAATACATGACGTGCTAAGTATCACAACGCTAGAGGTGCACACCTACAGAAGTAATATAGAGTATCTACACCAGGAAGAAGCAAGGGATGGCTACCCACAGAAGAGAGGAAACTACGCATGGGCAAGAAATCGATGGTGTTTCCTGAGAATGGCCCGCTAAGACAGAAACTTGAGGGGGGTGGGTGTGGAGCTCTGCTTCGCCCTACAGGCCATAAAGAGCGGTTTGGACAGAAGGCCCTCTGCGTGGCCGCAGACGGCGTGGTAGGAAGTGGAACGAAGAGAAGTGCTGCCCCTGCACCATCTCCCGAGTCTCTCCCGAAGCCCCGGTGCAGGGAGGACCCAGCCTTCGAGGCAGCCTGACACTGACAGGAAGCCAGGATGACCAGGTGCTCAGTCCCGGTGCCCTGACAACACTGACTTGTCACAGGCACGTGTGACATGGACTCACCTCCAGAAGACCTGACAAGTACTTGGCACAGATGTCAAGCGGCTTTGTTAGTGGAGAGTGGGCGCTCCAGCCCGGGGTCGCCGTGACATGCACCATGCCCCGCAGGGTCCGCTCCAGTGAAGGCAGGCCATAGAAGTGGGGGGCGTCCGTCACCCGCAGACACTGCAGCAGTCTGAGAGCCAGCTGTGTGCGGAAAACTCGCAGAAGCTCCAAGCACTTCCTGTATATGCAACGGGGTTCAACAACAGAACATGTCCAAGGAGTCAGTAGGCCATCCTGCCGGCTGGACAGGAAACGAACTGACCAGAGGTGTGTGTGCCATGTGAAAGCGGCATAAAACTGTCATTTCTCAAAATGAGACTTGCCAAGGAAACCACAGTGAATCGCCGAGTGTGTAATGTAAAAGATAAACTACAATTACATCCAAGGCTGCAAAGCCACCAACAATGAGAAAGCAAAACAGGGTGGTGGTGTGTTAAAGGAAAGGCACATGGGAAACCACGTTCTAAATCATTCACTGTCAGTTAAAAAGTAGAATGAAGTTTAACTGTCAAAAATATATTGTTTTAAAAAAAAACAAAAGGAATGAAAAAGATTTAACGTGCTTGATAAAACTGTCAAAAGCTGAACAATCAAGAGGACTTGTTAGAAAACAAACTTCCTGAAATTAGGTAACTAGACAAGTATCCGAAGACGTAAAAATTCCAGGAAAAAAATCGTCATTACGTTACAAAACTCTGAATTAAATCTGAACTATCTTCATCACAATTGTAGAAATGGAGATTACTGATGTTATTACCCCGTCCTCTCACAAAGAAGCCCTGGTACCTCAATGTTTAAGCACTCGGCTGCCAACTACAAGGCGGGCAGCTGGCCCCAGCAGCACTTCACAGGAGGACAATGTGGCCGTCCACTTCCAAGAAGTGACCATCATGGACATGCCGTGGGTCAGTGCTACTCTGTGCTGTCGGCTTGCTGTGGGTCAGAACCGACTGGAAGACCGTGGATTTGGTTCTCTAGCTTTCCTCTTTCATGGTGTTACAGGTGTGCCGCATTTTTAAAGACCAGAATTCTAGCAAACCAGACCCTAAATGTTATTACATCAATTCCTGTTTCTCGTGGGTCAGTATCCAATTTACACCATTATATATGCTGTTTTTCAACGTAGTAATTTATTAACAAACATTGTCACTTATCACATCAGTGGGAACACCAGAGACCAGCGTGGACATTCAGCCCCCAACCACCACTCCCCACTGGCCTCTCGGGTCCCTGCTCCTCACCTCCCTCAGTAGCTCCACACAGCTAGTCCCACCTCTTCACTGGTCCCCTCCTGGTAAACACACTTACTTCCTGCTTCACAGAGAAGACGCAGCCTACTGAAGGGAAGCGTCCCACCACCCCTACGTCTGATGGTTCCCTCACCTGTCCCTCTCATGGGAACAGGTAGCCCTTCTCCTAGCCAAGGAAACCCCTCCCTCAGTGCTGATTCCAGCTCTTTCCCGAGACTCCACTGCTCATTTCGCTGTCTCTCCTCATGCACCCCCCTCTCTCTCTTTCTACCGCTTTCTCCATCTGCTTACCAACCTCTCTTTTCCCTTCTCCTCTTCCAGTCCCATGTCCAGCATTTGTAAGAATGAGGGCACTTCAAGAGAGCTCACAGAACAATGGAATGAGAACCTATGGACTTTTCCCATGCACTTTTCTAAGCCCCCTGGGTCTCCCACCCTAAAACAAAAACTCTAACTGATCTTGACACTGTGGTTCATGAAAGGGTCACAGTCACTCCTTCCTTCAAAATTCACAGAGGCCAGACCACACCAAAGACCACCTGCCCCCCAGCCACCAGGGGGCTTGGTCACTGACGATGCTGGTGCCAGAGTGTGCTGCCATACCCCAGGCGCCTCTCCCAGTGAACGTCCCTCCCCAGCCCTCTGCCCCCAATCTGGGGCACTTCCATTGGCTTCTTGTCTCAGTCCACTGAACTTCTGCAGCTGTACCTAGCCTGCTGTTGCAGCTACCTAACACATTCTTCAGTTTAGAAGTTGTATTTCTCACTTGTAAAATCTGTTATTTGTTGTAGTCTCCACTCTTCTGATCCTGACATTCTGTATATTTTCACAGACTCTGTGAATCTTTTCATCGAATTTCTATTTCTCTGTGCTATTCATAAGTATACATAATAATTACCTAGAATGTGATTGCAAACGACACAAACGATACTATCAGTAGTTAGCGATAGATGGCAGCAGTTGCTGTTTGTAATAGCAACTTCCAAGCTCTTGTCACCTTTGACAACTGTGAATCTGTTTCGAATGACTTTTTTCTCTTAATCATGGGATTCAGTGTCCTGTATAATCACGATCCTCTTCATCTGTAATTGGATTTCATCAAGTGTTTACTAAAAAAAGCTGCTGAGACTTAAAACTGATAATAGTCTCTCAGGGACAGGGCTCACCTACTTGGGCTAGGAGCTGACCCTTTAGCTAACCCGGTGTGGGGCTGAACTTGGCGGTTCTGACACTGACCCACACTGTGAGTACCATCAGGTCCTGCCCTCTGGGGGGAGCACAGATTAATTACACCTTTACACACTGTGTACCCTCTCCAACCCAATTTAGAACAAGAGCTTCCTGCCGCCATCTTTTAAACCATACAGGTGTTACAAACCAAAATTACAGTGATACTGGCCATAAATGTCTACATTAAAACCAGAAAGTTCTCAAACCGATGACCTAACAGTCCTAGTCCTTTCTCCCCCGAATTTGAAAACAGGAAGTAACACTTTGGACAAGGCGGTACCTGTCAGTGACGGCAGAGAAGGTAAGCAACAAGGTGTTGAACAGGGTGATCAGTTCTTTCTGAAGCTGCTGCCGTACGGCAGCCCCGACCTCGTCTACTTCTTCTCGAGCCTGTGATTCTGTCGGAACCAGCAGGTCTAACAGTGGGTTTGGACCCTGAAACATGAAATGATAAAACGTACGTTTGTACAGTCTAACGAACGGAGGTTTAATTCCAACGGAGGTTTTGTTGCTACTCATGCTCTGAAGACACTAACCAAGGAGCTCTGGGGCTGCAGTGATTAAGCATTCTGTGAGAACCAGAAGATCGGTGGTTCAAACCCACCCAGCAACTCCGTGGAAGAAAAGACCTGGCCATCTGACCCCCATGAAAATGACAGTCTGGGACCCCCGATGGGGCAGTTCTACAGTCACGTGGAGTCCCTAGGCGTCAAAGCTGACTCAACAGCTCCCAGCACTCCTGTTTTACAGGTGGACAGGATCATAACGAGCTTCATAAACAGGTGAAGGAAATTGATCAAGATCACACAAAATTGGCAGAACCATCTAACTAGTAATGTCCTCGGTATGACACAAGTGGCACCAAAAGCAACATTCAAAAAGAAACAAAGCCAATTACTGTTATCATGCAATCCTTCACACACACACACACACACACACACACACACACACAAAACAAAATTCAAAATGAACTGCAGTTCGAGAACAGACATTTTTCGAAATGTGGAAAAAATTCCAAGTTGCTTGTATCATGTAGTATGTAGTTTGTATACTTTAGTTATATACAGTGACAAAAAATTATGACTGGAAACTTCTGAGAAGTACTGAGGGAGCTGCTTTGTTCTTAACTTATGATAGGACTTCATATCTTTCCCGAAACTTCTGTTTACCTTGAGCAAGAAGAAATGGCTCACTAGCAGCAGACAGAATTGAAGAAAAAAACCCTGTAACTTCTGTTTTATACATGAATCAACAGACACATTTGTACAATTACAAAATAAATACATTTTCTATAGTATTCTTAGCCCTAAGGAACCTAAATAAGCCCTGTAGCTATGAGTCGGAACCGACTCCACGGCACATAACCACCACCACCTCCCTTCAATTATTAATACTGCCAAAATGAATAGGCCATTTTTAATGCAAACCCCCTCCTAGTAAATACAAAATTTTCCTATCGGAAATTAACTCTAATGTTCAAATAAAAATAAAAACCATTGCGACCTGGTGTCAATCTAAGAGCAGAGAATCCTTCAGGGAAGGTTTAGAGAAATGGAAACACTGCCTTAAGAACTATATAGACCCATACGATGGATATGTCGAGACACAATAGCTTCCTGTTTATGTTTAATGAAGATTTTATGATTTTGTAGCAATATTTTTTAATTTACCCTTGTATAATAAAAATGACACCTTTAAAAAAAAAAAAAACCATCCCTTTGGAAGTGTTATTAACAGCGCTCCGCTAGCATGTCTCGCTGACTAGATCAAGTCAAATTTTGGTAAGCTGTAAAATTCCTTCCTCCTTCATGTTGGTTCTTGTGTACCATGAAGCTCATCCTCATTCTGTAGAGCGGAGAGCGGGAGTGAAGGCTCAGCCCCACTTTCCCTTCTGTTGTTGTGTCTCCTAGCTGATCCCATCTCCTGCCAACGCCAAGTGTAACAGAACAGAACCACTCAACACAGTTTCTAAGGCTGTCCTCTTTATGGAAGCAGACTGTCACATCTGTCTCCTATGGAACAGCTAGGGGTTCGAACCTCCAGCCTTTCTGTCAGCAGCCCACTGAACCACCGAGGATCCTTAATTCCACTTTACCACACCCCAAAACAAACCCAGTGCCATTAAGTGGATTCTGACAGGAGCGCACAGAACTGCCCACAGGGTTTCAGGGCTGCAATCGTTACAGAACAGACTGACACACACCTGTCTCCCACAGTGGCTGGTGGGTCTGAACTGCTAACCTTTAGGTTAGCAGATGTGCCCTTAACAAGTGCGTCACCAGGGCTCCTTAAATTCCACTTTGTTGTTGTTGTTGTTAAGTGTTGTTGAGTCAGTTCTGACTCATAGCGATCCTGATAGGGTTTCTAATGAATGGCTGGTGAGTCTGAACCACCAACTTGGCAGTTCAAACCGACCCTGTGAGCCAGTTCCTCTTTGATGATGGTGATTATGTGCCGTGGAGTCAGTTCTAACTCATGGCAACTCTGTCGAGGGTTTCCAAGGCTGTGAATCTTTACAGGAGCAGAAAGCCTCATCTTTTTCCCATGGTGGGTTTTGAACTGTTGACCTTAAGGTTCGCAGCCCAATTCGTAACCACTACGCTACCAGAGCTCCCTCTTTACTCACCCTTAAAACCATTATTACTTATAAAAATTGTTGTTCAGTGTTGTTGAGTCGGTGCCAACTCATAGCAACCCTGTGTATGAGCAGCCAATGGGTTTCAACTGCCGGCCTTCTGGTTCTATGTCTAGTGCTAATCCTACAGCACCATACTAGGAGTCTATATAACAGTGATGATCATACATGAGTAGACATAAAATTTTCAAAGAGGGACTTGATACAATACAAAATCAAATAAGTAAATTTAATTATACCCAAAATTTCTTTCTAAACTACATTAAAATTGTACTACATTCACCTAGACTCTTGTGTAGTATAATTGCCTAAGTATAAATAAATTATACAAAATACATCAGCATTCACGCCATACCATAAATTCACAACCATTTAATTTATGGTTCTGTCTACTAAGAATTACATAACCTATATAATTTACAGTTTTGACTACTAATAACTATATAATTTATAATTTTCATTATCTACTAATGGTTATACAACTTAGTTATCTAATTTACAGTTTTGACTTTCTACTAACAGTTACATAACTTGTTGTTACTGTTGTTAGGTGCCATCGAGTCAGTACCGACTCATAGCGACCCTATACACAACAGAACAAAAAACTGCCCAGTTCTGGGCCAACCTCACAATTATTGCCACGCTTGAGCCCACTGATGCTGCCACTTGGCCAATCCATCTCGCTAGGGGTTTTCCTCTTTTTCTATGACACCTCCCCCTCACCTTACCAAACATGATATTCCTCCTCTCCAGTGACTGGCCCCTCCTGACAATATGTCTTAAGTATGAGACATGAAGTTTGGCCATCCTGGCCTCCAAGGAGCACTCTGGCTGCACTTCTTCCAACACAGATCTGTGTGTTCTTTTGGCAGTCCATGGCACTTTCAACATTCTCCTCTAAAACCTAAACTCAAATGCATCGATTCTTCTACGATCTTCCTCATTCACTGGCCAACTTTCGCATCCATATGAGGTTAATGAAAATATCATGGTTTGGATCAGGCGTAACTTAGTCCTCAAACTGACATCTTTGCTCTTCAACACCTTAAAAATGTCTTGTGCAGCAGATGTGCCTAATACTACACATCGTTTGAGTTCTTGCCTGCTGCTTCCATGAGTGTTGATGGTTGATCCAAGAAAAATGAAGTCTTTTGACAACTTCAATCTTTCCTCCATTGTTAAGAATGTTGTTTATTGGTCCAGTGGTGAGGATTTTTGTTTTCTTTACATAGAGATGAAATCGATACTGAAGGCTATGGTCTTTGATGAAGATCAGTATTTTAGGTCCTCTTTGCGTTCAGCAAACAAGGTTGTATCATCTGCATATCGCAGGTTGTTAATGAGTCTTCCTCCAATCCTGATGCCATGATTTCCTTCATAGAACCCAGCTTCTCGGATTATTTGCTCAGCATACAGGATGAATAAGTATGGTGAAAGAATACACCCTGTCACACACCTTTCTTAATTTTAAACTATTCAGGTCTTGGTCTATGTACAGGTTCCTCAAGAGCACAATTAAGTATTCAGGTATATTCATACTTCACAATGTTGCCCATAGCTTATCATGATCCACACAACCAAAGGCCTTTGCGTAGTCAATAAAGTACAGGTAAATATCTTTTGGGTATTCTCCACTTTCAGCCAAGATCCATCTGATGTCATTGCACATCCTTTAATGAATCCGGTTTGAAGTTTCTGTCAATGTATGCTTGCAGTTGTTTCTGTATCACCTTTAGTAAAACTTTACTCACATGGGATATCAAAGATATTGTCCAATGATTTCCGCATTCCATTGGGTCACCTCTCTTTGGAAAAGCACATATTCGGATCTTTTCCAATCAGTCGGCCAGTTAGCTGTCTTCCAAATTTCTTGGCGTACATGAGTGAGTGCCTCCAGTGCCACATTACTTTGCTGAAAGATTTCAATTTGTATTCCATCAATTCCTGGTGCCTTGTTCTTTGCTAATTCCTTCAATACACCTTGGAATTCTTCCTTCGGTATTGTTGGCTCTTGATCATATGCTACCTCTTGAAACGGTTGAACATCGACCATTTCCTTTTGTTACAGTGACTCTGAATATTCTCACTAAGTATATAACTTAGTTATATAACTTATATTGTTGTCATTAAGTGCCGTTGAGTCGGTTGTGACTCATATCAACACTGTATAGGGTTTCTGAGGAGCAACTGGTGAGTTTGAACTGCCAATCTTGCGATTCAAATCCTTGAAGTCCAGTGTTTATCCTACAGCACCACACCAGTTTTGACTATTAATGGTTACATAATTTAAATATATTTTAATATGCACAGTGATTTTTCTTATATTAAAACAATTAATTCAATTATTGCATAGATTTTGAAGAAAATTTCAAAAACTATAGCCCACAATCACTGCCATCTTCACAACTCAATCAACCATAATTCCCTGAAATAACTCTAATCAAAAATGAATTTACTTTAGAATTTATTTTTAAAAAGAAAACTTTTTTAAAAAGTATGAAGTTATAAATGATTTATAGACCAAAAACTGAATTAAGTTGTTAAAAAGTTCATTCAGAGAAGAGTAGAGAGATTTAATAGTATTTTAATAGTCAATCTCTGAAATATTTGCGCATGATTAAAAGCTATAAAGAACATTAATGACATTAGGTTTTACTGCTGTGCTTTATAAAAAGGTTTGGGGGTGATGAGGGAAGAATGAGGAAATTAAGTTCAGAAAGTAACTGCCTGGAAACATTTTAGTTTTATTTAAATAATTAAAATGTGAGACAAAAAGTCTTTTGAAATCATTTTGAAGGAAGTTAACCAAAAGCAGACTTTGCTGAGCAGTGAGTGTGTGGACTTCCTTTATACACACGTCAGTAAACGGACCCTAAACTAAACGTCTTCCTGAAGCTTATTGTACGTCTTCTCATATATATAGAACACAATAAGATTCATGGAAATGTTCTCCCGTTGGTCTACTGTTCGAGAATTAGTGTCACAAAATGAAAAGAAAGATAACCCGGAAGAAGTAAAGACATAGAGAATAAAGCGTACTGTGGAAAAGCTTCCTACAAAATTTGAAAATGTAGTTCAGAAAACACAGGCATATCAAAGGAACCTATTACAAAGTCCAACCACAGTTTAATTAAAGTGTGAACTTATATCAGGATCACCTAGGAAACTTCTCACCAGGCTAGCTATCTTTACTAAGAACTGTGGGTATTGTGAAGTGCCAACAGGTCAGTTTCAACTCATAGCAAACCTGTATAGGGTTTCCAAGGAGCTAGCGGCTGGTTTGAACTATCAGCCTTGTGGTTCAATCTGACTTTGTGATCCAGTACTTATCCTACAGTACTACTAATACTAATTAGCTAATCATTTGCTAATAATCTTTACATCAAAAAGAAACACTATGAGAACCAGTATTAGCAGACAACAACCTATGACTAAATACAAGTCAACACCACCCCGAACTCAATCCAGATATGATGGTACTGTGCTGTGGAGAAGGTTCCAATCCACAGTGACCCTGCATAGGGTTTCCGGAAGCAGAAAGCCTCATCTTTCTCCCACATAGCAGCTGGTAATTTCGAACTGCTGACCTTGAGGTTAGCAGCCCTACTCGTAACCACTATGCTCCCAGAGTTCCTTAAACAGTGCTGCAGCTCCATAGGATAAGCATTGCTCTGAAAACCACAAGGTCAGCGGTCCAAGCCCACCAGCCACTTTGCAGAAGAATGAAGAAGCTTTCTGCTTCAGCAAAAAAAAATCCAGATACAGAAGTATTTAAAGTAAAACAAACCTGCAAGACTGAATATATGGAACCAGTAATATCAATTTATAATGAAGTCAACTGCAAAACGAAAAAGAGGGAATAGTGTAGATACAGAACTTCCATATGGCAAGTAGTTCAAATAGATTTCAAGATAAGACAGACTGTTATAAATAGGAAATAAATTAATGAATTACAGGATAAATTCTGTCAAAAGAGGAAGACTCCCAGAATCCTTCATTATGCTGTCTACAAAGACAGAATCAGACTAAAAATCAAAGGATGGAAAAATACATCAAGATAATGGCAATAAAACAGTGGCAATTTTAATCTCTGATAAAATAGACTTTTTATCTGGTAAAAACCAGTCTAAGAGACAAAGAACGGAACACTATATAAGGATGAAGGGATCAACTGAACTGGAGAGTGCATGACTTAATAAATACCTATGTTGTTGTTGTTGTTAAGTACCTTCAAGTCGATTCTGACTCATAGTGACCCTGTATAGGGTTTCCAAGGTGTGGCTAGTGAATTTGACCACTGATCTGTGGTACAGTGCCTTATCCCACAGTGCCATACCAGGACTCCTAATAAATCTCTACGGCCCAAATGAAAGTCACAGGTGAATCTCCCCTAGAAATCACAGTTGTATGCTTTTGGTTTGTCGGCTGGTTGCTGGTAGGTTCCAGGACGACTCGTATTCTGTACAAGAGACCCAAACACTGCCCAGTCCTGCACCACACTCACTATCATTCCATGCTTGAACCTCTGCTTGTCGTCATGTGTCAATCCATCTTATTGAGGGCCTTCCTCTTTTTAGGTGACCTCTGCTTTTCCAAGCATCATGTCCTTGTCCAGGGACTGATCCCTCCTAATAACATGTTCAAAGTACATGAGAAAAAGTCTGCTATCCTGTCATAAAGATACTGTACAATCAGCCATTTCATCCTAAACATGAACACAATGAGTTTTGTATCCACTGAGCTATATAAATGAGAAGATTTCTGTCTTTGCAATCTCTTTAGCTAATTGCCTGTGATGCATTGCTTTCTGCTTTAATGCTTATTCGATAATAAAACTTTTCTTTTTCTTCTAAAAAAACAAGAAAGAAACTCCAGATGAATAAAGATGCAAACAAAAATAAAGCCTTCTCAAAGTTATAAAAGAAAACGTGGGGTTGTGCCATGGACTTAATTGTGCTCCCGTCATGACACCTGGTGGGTTAGCAGTCATGCGATGTGACCTGGTGTGATAAACCAGGATTAAGGACGGGGTGTGGGGTGCCGCACTCTTACACCTGCCGCATCCCTGATCCAGTGTACGGGGTGACTCCTGGGAACTGTACGGCCCGCATCCCCACATCATTCCCTATGAGCAAGAAACACGATCTTCTTCAACCACTCTTCCTTTCCCTCCCATCCTCAGCAACATCCACACTGTACCCCTGGTTGTTCCTCAAACAAGTCAGAGACACTCACCTCACGGCCTAGGATGGATCTCTTCCTCCCACATGTCTGCTTGCCTGATGTCCTCACCTCATTGCAGTGTCCCCTCCTCAGAGCGGCCTTCTCTGGTCACTGATGTAGGTAGACCCCAGCCACTCACTATCTCTTACGTGGCTGACAGTCCGTCATACGCATCATATTACGTGCTCTGCCTCCAGAGCGTAAGCCCCACAATAGCCTGTCCACCTTCCAGACTGAACGTCCAATGAGAGCACCACGTGACAACAGCAGAAAGTGCACATACAGAGCAGGTTCTGTCAAACCCCAAGGTCAAAGGTCTCGGTCCTTCTGCAGCATTTCACAGTCAAGTCCGAAGGCATGTCGCTGTGAGCCACCAAAGCCAGCAGAAGGGATGGCAGCTGCATAAACACTGTCTTTGTAAAAACTACCATTTTCCATAATATCAATGATCTTTACAAACGAATCACTTCTCAAACCTAAAATCTTTACATTAAAAGAAACTCCAGATGAATTAAGTTCCTTCACAATACTTACATGTCTAAGAAGTAATTCTAGAATCCAACTGAGAAATTCTACTGATGCATTTTTCCTTTGTTCCTTCATTAACTCGTTTACAAACTGTACAACATCTATTAGCAGCTTCTCATCCTCAGTGCAAGCAGGAAGCACTTGCAGAAACCTGCAATGAAGAAGACACGAACCATGGTTCTGAGCTCTACCTATTATCACGGTTCATCACATACTCACACACCGAACACATTTCTCCTGAGCATGTTACTTCATGAAAATCACAAGGCTGACAGAAATAGGGGTCTGTCACCCAGAACCTGGGCCTAGTGAAGAAAACACGGGCCTGAGTAACTCATTAAAAACAACAGGAAGTGACAGGTGCCAACTGAGATGCATGACCAGATTCAGAAGACAGCCGAGAGGTACACGGAGCCCAGCAATGCTGCCAACTGCCCAGGGAAGCCATCTTTTACTGCTGGAACTCTGTGCATTAATAAGAAGAAGTCATGTGTAAATATTTCTCTAAGCAATCAGGATGAAAAGGGGTGGATATAGCAAGGAAGTGGCTAGAATGTGTGTAAACAAGACATTGAACGTACAAACTTATGTAACTTTTAAAAGAAAATCTGGTTTTAGAAAGTTAGATTAGGAGGCAAGAAGAAAACATCTATGTAAAAAGAGAAACAGTTGGGGATATTTTTAAAAAGGTAATCCAGGAGAGGTGTGGTGGTTGGTGGCCATGTATCATCAATTTAGCTCCTACTCATAGTGACCCTGTATAGGATGTCTAAGGCTATAAATCTTTATGGGAGCAAAGAGCCTCAGCTTTCTCCTAGAGCTGGTAGATTTGAACTGCTAACTTTGTAGTTGGCAGTCCAACGCATAACCCACTCCACCACCAAGGCTCCTTGGAGAAGTAGAGATTCTAAATCAGAACAGAAAACAAACACACAGATGAATGTGGGGGCGCATTTTCGTTGTAGTTAAGTGCCTTGGGGTCAGTTCCCACTCAATCCTGTATAGGGATTCTGAGGCTTTAAATCTTTATGAGAGCAGAAAACCACACCTTTCTCTCATGGAGCAACATGCGGGCTTCAAACACAGAGCTTGTGGTTTACACTCCAATGCTCACCGTATGGAGTCACCACACTGTCGTGGTAGATAGAGCACACAGGGGGCAAAAGGATGAAAATTTCTCAGACATTACCAAACACCTTCAGGCAACGAGTTGTTGGGTCTGGGGGATGGCACAACACAGTCCACAAAGACAATGTTCTACACCCAACTTTGGTGAGTACTGACTGTGAAGCTCACGAGTGGCCTTCTAATGAACAACAAGTGCTCTCTCCATGTGTGGTACAATGAAGAGCAATGAAAATTAAAGACACACAGGGACCTCCTATGCTGTGCTTGTTAGTAACATGGTCTTCACCCTTTAAAACTAAGGTGACAGATAATAGCTGCTTGCAAAGGACAGCGTATCAGTTGTGTTTGTTTCAAATGCAGCTTACTACCACCAGTTGAATACATCCCATGACAAACCAGGGCCACCCCACGAGGACTTCATGGAACCCAGAGCAAAGAGAAACTGAGATAAGTGACTTAGGGACAAACTGAAAGCACAACAGACCAAGAAAGCCGCCGCAGCGGCAACAAACCCTGCCTCACACAGTCTGTCCCACCCATGTCTTGCCTAAGGACTTACTCAGGGAGATAAAATAACATTTTCTGAAATAGGAGAAAAAAATTGTGCATTAATAATGCTTTCCAAAATACAGAGATCAGGAGGAGATTGCTCCTCTTTTTTGCTATTAGTAAGTTTTCCTTACATACAGACAATAGACATCCTGGAGTTCCTTCTTTTTAAAAAAAAAAAACAGTTTTCATGTGACAGTAACGATGAGAAGACACACTCCCTAGGGGATAAAACCACGTGAACTTCAGTTGAGGCCTTTCAGGCTGGTGGCCAGGCGGCCCACAGACTGACCTGGTCAGCGCGCTGTGCCAAGCCAAGGAGTTGATGGTTGCCCCACACAGCCCAGCGCTGCTCCTGAAAGCCAGCCTGTCGTTGAGAAGGTAAGAGCTCATCCTGGTGATGGCAGCCCTGACCTCCCTGTGGGCTGCAGCCTGGACGATGGCACGCAGGCAGTCCTGCAGGCCACTGGCTGTGTGTGTCAGCTTCAGCGTGAGGACGTCCTCGGCAGACAACTTCAATGTGTCTCCAAATCTAAGAGAGAGAGCGACACAGAAAGCTCCTGAAACAAAACCTCCCATGTATTTTTATTATACCACAGACTCTCTCCAAAAACTGTGACTTATCCTTCATTTTCTTTTCATTAAAAGTGGACTCAGAGCAGCTAAAAGTGGCTGTGCCTCTCCACTGTACTAACCTCCCCGTGTTGATATGACTTGGACCTATTCCAGAAAGAGAAAATAACTGTCATTCATAGAAGACAGCAGTTTATTAATGACTAACACGTAGGAAAGCCTAGATATCCCAAAGTACCCTCGTCATCATCCCAGTGATAACATGCCTTCACTCTAATCGCAAACACTTTCCCAGTGGCTTACGTTGATCAACTGGTGAAGCTTACTAATCTACACAGTGGTCCCCAGAGTCCTTTCCCAGTGG